CATCAAGCCTATCCTCAATATACAGGAAACACACTGGCTGGTCCATGTGGGGGAGAAGAGACATGACTGATTGGAAGGCCTTGAGCCTCCTCTTGAATTCTCACATGTTCTTAGCCCTTACAAGCCCTGTAACACCCCACCTTAGATGATTGTCTTGCCAGATTGACCCCCTCAGGGACTTGGGGGAGAGGCTGCACTGTCCTTAAAATAAACAAAAGAGAGGTGATTTCATTAAAAACCCCACATAGGGTGATAGCAACAGCCATCCAAGCTGCAAAGAAAGATGAGCAGATTCTGGTGGGTTCTGGTGAGCACAGGCCAAGGGGAGGGACACAGAACAGTAGGACAGACACTAGAAGGCCGTTTGGGCAGAGAGGTTAGGAGAGCCGGAGCACTCTAGGCTGCCGGGGCATCTCTTCTGAAAGGAAAGGAAGGTGTTGGGACTGCCATCTGACCCCATGTGAGGGATGAGCAACCTGCTAATTTGACTACCTTCTATGTACAGGAGGGAAGGAATCAAGGAAGGAAGGAAGAGAGAGAGGGAGAGAGGGAGGGAGGGAGGAAGGAAGGAAAGAAGGAGGGAAAGGAGGGAAGGAGGGAAGGAGGGAGGGAAGAAGGAGAGAAGGAAAGAAGGAGAGAAGGAGAGAAGGAGGAAGGGAGCTTCTGCCACTCTCCTCCAGCCCCTTCCTAGTCCCCACCTGCTGAATTCAGCAGGTGACCTGGCTTCCTACTTCACTGAGAACACTGACGTTGTCATCAGTCATGTCCTCTCAGCACCAGTTCTGTGCCTTCACTCTTAGCTACCTCCACACCCACCTAGTTTTCTTTCCTCTTGCACAAGGCTACAGGACAGCTTCCCCGCCCAGCTTCCTAGCTGTTGACCCTGTCAGTCACCCTCCTCTCTCCCACATCCTCAATCCCTCCTCTATGCTTGTCTTTCCCATCCTCAAAGTCCCTCTCCTGACCCCATGACACCTTCTTGCTATCATCCTGTCTCTTCCCCTTCTCAACTAAATATCTCCAAAGGGTAATCACGTTCACATTGTGTACATCCCCATTGCTGATCAACACCTAAACCCATGAAATCTTGCTTTTGCCCATAACCCCCAGCACCATGGACACCCCACTCCTGAGAGTACATTCTCTGCTGGCTTCTTAAAAGTGACACCCAGTAGATATCCTTCAGCCCTCATCCCCCCAGATCTCTCTGCTGCAGCTGAAACATGGTATTAGCATTGTTACTATATATGAATCATTATTTTCAGTACCATCCACTGACTTGCACTTATTTTTTAATTCCTTCCGTCCTTAAAGGGCTACATTCTGCATAAAGAGTTTCCCAGTCCTCATTCTCCTATAACCTGGCAACTTTCTTTTGGATGTGGTGGACAAACCATGGATGGATCCAGTTGGTCAGGAAAGCAGACAAAGTGCTCCGTGATGAGAACACATGCCCATCCCTTGCGGGCTGAAGTGAATCTAAAGCCAAGGGATTCTGTGGGACCCTGGGTCACTGGAGAGGCAGACTAAGAGAAGTCATGATGCCATTACTGTCTTAGTCTAAAATATTAGTGCATGGAGGAGTGTAGAGGCAAGGCCGCTGCAGAGGCTGGGGACCAAGGGGAGTCAGCAAGAGATCAGTGATAGTTCCCCTCCTCCCTGTATCTCAAAGCTCAGACACAAAACCACCAGGGTTTCATGTACAGTTGTGCAGGTTGTATCCTGCACAAGAGTTCCAGCCAAGAATGTGAAAGAGAGCTAAAATCCAGTCCATACTCTGATCATCAACCTGTTTCCATCCAGAGCCCCTTTACTTGACACAAGCTGTGTGGTCCTCTCCATGGACCTCTCTGCCCAAAGGGCCTTCTAGACATTAACTTTCCAAGCTGTGTGTCTGGGGAGCTGTGTCTGCACAGAGTGGACACCTGTTTCTAATTCACAAAAATACCAGAGAGGGCAAGGAGACCTCTAAACACTAGGGTGGTACACCGTGAGTCTCTGGGGGAGAAGAATCCACTACTAGAAGTCCTCCTCTTCCCTGTATCTCACTGGTCTTCAGGTCAGTCCAGTCATGCAGTTTATCTGCCTGAGCTATAAATTCTGGCTTTCTACCTCCTAGTCACATGATCTTTGGTAAGTGGTTTAACACACTGTGCTTTGGTTTCCATCAAAAAGGTGAGGATAACAGTAGTATCTACCTCATAGGGTTTTTGTGAGGATTAAATTACTTCAGAACAGGTCCTGGTTCCTAACGAGCACACTGTTCACATTAGCTCTTAGCTAACAGTGTCATTCTTAGGTTCAATGAGACAAAATCATTTCTCCACACCCACCAAACAACATAACCTCCTACCACTAGGAGGGTCCTTATTCTCCAAAGTTTGCTATTTAGTGCTTCTGTTTCAAAAGGGTGTGTGTGTCTGTGTGTCTGTGTGTGTCTGTGTGTGTGTGTGTGTGTGTGTATCTAGGGGTGTAGTGGGTGAGGAAGGAGTTATGGTCTGAAGGCCTGGGGATAGAAAGATAGGGCAGACTGATTCAGCCCCAATTAAAAATGATTAATTCTAACTGGACAGCAATAATTATTCAAAGTTGAAAAGAATTGTTAGAAATGCATGTCCTAAGTTTTTTTCTTCATACTTCCATCACAGAGGACTATTGTTAGCCAGCTAAGACTTAATTACCAGTTTCTCAGGGCAAAAAAATTGCATGAAATAAATTTATGGGCATTCAAATATGGACTGTGTTAGTGTTGATGGTGAGTAACCTCATCTTTAATGAGGCAAACCTCCTGGTCTGAAACAACAAAATGACAAGTCTTAGCAGGGGGAGTTTGAAAGGAGCTCTAAAGTCTGCATTTGTGAATCTCTCTCCCCTGTTGCCAGTAAGGGTGGCTTGGTGGAGGTCAGCACTAGCAGCCTGGAGGCAGGGAAAACACTTAGTTTATCTCTGTCTGCCAGGAATCAGCTAACAGGAGTCACTTCCGTGACCTCGGGCACCAGAGTCGGGTCCTCAGAAAAGCAGAGAAAGAATGTCCAGAATAGACAGAGCAGGCAGGGGACTGGGGAGCCTGACCCAAGCAGCACGTCAGTCCCTCCCCAGCCATGCTTAGCTTTTCTCAATGTCCCAGCAAGAGTTTACAGCTAATCAAAGGTGTGGTACATATACACAGTGGAATACTATTCAGCCATAAGAAAGAAACAAATCCTACCATTTGCAACAACATGGATGGAGCTAGAGGGTATTATTCTCAGTGAAATAAGCCAGGCGGAGAAAGACAAATACCAAATGATTTCCCTCATTTGTGTAATATAACAACGAAGCAAAACTGAAGGAACAAAATAACAGCAGACTCACAGACTCCAAGAAGGGACTAGTGGTTACCAAAAGGGAGGGATGTGGGAGGGCAGGTGGGGAGGGAGGGAGAAGGGGATTGTGGGGTATCATGATTAGTGCACATGGTATGTGTAGGGTCATGGGGAAGATAGTATAGCTCAGAGAAGACAAATAGGGACTCTATAGCATCTTACTACACTGATGGACAGTGACTGCAATGGGGTATCGTGGGGGGACTCGATATAAGGGTGAATGTAATAACCACATGGTTTTCCTTGTGAAACCTTCATAAGAGTATATATCAATGATACCTTAATAAAAAAAAAGAAAGAAAATGCATGAGGAAAGGGAAAAAAAAGAAAAAAAAGAGTTTACAGCTAATCAGATGGCAGCAAGCCAGAGAAGCCCACTCCCCTCAGAATCCCACAGAATTTTCAGTGCACATCATGGGCTGCCCACTGCCCCAGCCTTACGCCTCCAGGGTCTTCAAGAATCTCAGGGTCTTCTCCACTCATCCCAGGGCAGCAGCTCTTACCAGAAGAGAGGCATCCTCCCCACCCAAATCCCAGTCAAGCAGCCAGCCCCTGTCTCAGGTCAGATTCCCACAAAACAGACCCAGATGGAAATCCGTGAGCAGGAAATGTGTTGGGAGTGCTCTTAGAATCAATGCCATGAGGGAGTGAATGGAGCAGGACTGAGTGGGGGCCATCCACTCTAGGCCCCTAATCCCTATGGGCTGATCCTGCTTCTGTTTCTCTCTTAGCCTCACCCCACTCCATCAAACCACCACAGACAGGATTTTGGAGGTGGCCCCCTACAACTTGGCCCTACGTCCCTGTAATCCAGTTTGCCCCTTCTGGCCACCCTCTCCCTGGGCTAGGTTCTGTCTTCCTCACCCCACCCCAGCTATTCTCAGCATCCTCCAGGGCATTAATTGTGGCCCAGTTATGAATGTTGCTGGGATTCTGGACTCTGGGATGGCTCCAGTGCTGTCGGAGTCTTTTGTCTCAGACAAAGAGATTAACAAGAAAAACAAAAGGACCACTTAAAGAGAAAATGGACTAAACAAATGAAGAGACAATTCACTGGAAAAAAAATTAAATAGCTGATACGTATATTTATAAAGCTCAACCACATTAGTAATCAAAGAAATGAAAATCAAACCTAGAAAATTGTCAAAAATGAAAAAGAACACTGTGAGGTGTTTGTAAAACTGGAGAAACTGAAACTCTTACGCATTGCTTCTCAAAGTATCAATTGGTACAGTCTTTCTGGATAGCAGTTTAACACTAGAAATCAACTAATTTAAGTGGCCTAGCAATTCCACACCAAGAAAGTTGTCTTAAAGCGTGAATAGGACAAGTGTTCAGAGGCATGTGTGTTCTTTGCAGCAATGTTTATTACAGTAGAAAAGGTAGAAATAACGAATGCATCAAAATGTGCTACATCCATAAAATGGAATACTGTCAGTCATTAAGAATGAAGATCTCTGCCATCATGATGGGAGGCAGGACCTGGCTCCTGGAACATACGTGATGGGGGCTGGGCCAGAGCAGCCCGCGGGATGCTGAGGCCCCAGGTGTGCACAGGCTCAGGCCTGCAGGGCCCAGGCTCTGAGAAGGCCCCCAGAGCTGCTTGCCCAGCATGGGGTGGATGCCGTGGGAGTGATGGAAGTCCTCAAGGAAGAGAGATTTGAGCTGCCCGTCTCTTCAGCCTCTGAAGCAGAACTTGACACTGTGGTTGGATATACTGAGGATATTGCCTTGGATTCTGAGTTTGAGGTACTGCAGAGAAATTTCATGGACAAATACTACCAAGAATTTGAAGGCAGGGAAGAGAATAAACTCTCCTACACACCAATTTTTAATGACTACCTTTCTTTGGCAGAAAAGTATATTGAAAGACGCCTGCTGGGGTAGATTCCTGGATTCAACATGGCAGCTTTCACACAGAGTTAAAGCCCCATAAAGATGAAACGGCTGTTGACATATTCGACAGGCTGCTCACATTTACTGACTTTTTGGCATTTAAAGAGATGTTTCTGGACTACAGGGCAGAAAAAGAAGGCCAAGGACTAGACTTACGCAGTGGTTTAGTGATGACTTCTTTATATAAATCATGTTCTGTGCCAGCTATGCAGAACAATCTGCAGCACTAGCTCCTGCCGTCAGGCCATGGGTGCCTTCTGGACTTCCCGAGTCCAGCAGGCCTGGAGAAGCTTCTGCCCATGATGATAGGAGGATACATCCTGGAAAGACTGGCTCGGTTCTGCAGCTCTTCATTAATGTTAGGTATTGATGGGTCCAAAAGATAATTACCTGACCCTCCCAGTACTTAACACTTTTCCTGAAATGCCTTCTATTCAGCAAGCCCTAGTAAATACCTGTCTCAAGTGTTTTCAAGACAGAGTGCTAAGGTCAGACTGCTGTGGGGCAAAACTATGTTAAGAATTCCACCTGGCAGGCCCCTTCGGCCACCATATATGTTCCTGTGTCAACAAAATGGAATAACACCATTACAGACCCTCCCTGTCCCAAATACCACAGGCCTGCTTTGCATGAACCTTCCATGTACTCACAGCTCTTTCACTTGGGTAAGAGTTTCAATCTTTCAAACCCAGTGGACCACCTTTGTAGAATTTTTGACTATTGGAGACTATTTATCTAGGGCATTAAAACAGCCACTCTTGTCTTCAGATTTCTGAGACTCCTATTTTCAGCCCACCATTATGAGATAATTAGAACTAGTCTTGGCTGTAGGAATAAAGGAATCTCCTCTTCCAGTCCTGATGTAGTTGCACTGTTTCAAGAGATGCCTGTTTATTTGCTTGTTCTTAAGAATAATTTTTGGAAAAAAAAAATATTTTTATAGATGAATACTCAGGCTCATCTGGTAGATTTAATCTTAGAGTTTCTATGATTACCCACTAAAACATCTTAGTTTTAAATTATTGTCATTTTTAGTTGTTAGTGCTCTGAAGGCAAAAATACTTTTCTTCATTGGAGTTACTATTTTACTGGACACCAGTGAATATATGCTATATGCTGGAAATAGACTAAAAGATACCCTTTTCTTACAGCATATTTATGCAGTTTGCTTAAAATTCTAAATCAGCTGGTTAGGTTTTTGGTTGGTGTGGATTGAGTTGGTAAAAGTGTGATTCTGTAAACTCTGCACTTCTAAGTCTCTTCTTCCTGTCAAAACGATCCCCACTGGTCTAACTCAGCCTGAGGAACAAGGGGTAGCAAATAGCTTTAATGGTCTGGCTTTGGTTTAGTAAAATGTTTAGTAGAACATTAATGACCAGAAAACATGTACGTCATACCCCTAGAAAAAAGAAATAGTAGTTTGTCCCAATATGTACTTTGGAGGGGGCAGGGTGTTAAGTAAAAATAAGAATCTACACTGAAAAAGAAAATGAGGATCTCCCTCTGTATTTGTTGTAATGGAAAGATGTTATTTGGTAAATTTCTTCACAGCTAGACTGTAAGCTCTATCAGAGCAAAGACTGTATATTCTGCACTCTGTTCCTGGGCCTGGCACAGTGTCTGGAAAATGGTAGGCAGTCAGTTAATTGTTGAATAACTAAATGGGTAAATTCCACAGCAGATTAAGTGAAAAATCAGTTATAAGGCAGTATGTATTGTAAGACCCTATTCTGTAAAATATATATTTATGTGTACCTATTTTCACATTATATGTGTACATTATAGATTATCCTTATTTTCTCTTTTTGTTTTACTTTGCTAAGTTTCATGCATTTTTGCTATAAGTATGTGCCATTTTTACCCTAGAGGAAGATCTTTAAAAGGAGAGTGAGAAGAATGAAGGATGGTGAATAAAGAAGCAGTGTCACTAGGAGATAGGTTGTTCAATCCTAAAGACATAACTGGTAGGATTTCAAGTATCAATTTGGGAAGGCTCCTGTCACCTCTCTGGCCATTCCATGTAAATACCTATTCTACATACCCTGGCTTTCTTCAAAGGCGGCAAAGAGCTGCCCCACCTGTATCTTCAAATGGGAGATGAATTTGAGGGATTCTTCGAAACTCAGAAAGCTCAGGATTGCCAGCCTCCCATAGACTTGGATGTATTCCATCCCCTCCAGCACCCCACCGGGCCTCAGGCATGATGCCTTTACCCTGGAAGCTTCCCTGCTCCACTGGCACATGGTCTAGTCAGGCATGTGTCAATAACATAAAACATGATGCTAGTCCTAGATGTCTCCTGGGTATGGTCTGGTTATCTTCCCTGTAGCCTTGCTCTTCCTCCATGTTATACCCAGACTCCTTCCTTCCTCGGCCTCCTCCAGGCTTCTTCTCCAACATACCTTGATTGATCCCCTCCCCCAACTCCAAGAATCCTTCAGGCTTTCACTGCCTCCCTCAGTAGCCCCCTCCACCATCTCTCCTCACAAGAAGGTCCTAGACTCTCACTGTCAACTTTCAGCTCCATCCTGCTTTAGAGTGTGACCTAGCCCATTTTTCTTTCAGAGAAGAGGGAGGAAGGTCCTGCTCTCCTTATTCATTTCTATTCATTCTTTCAGTTGCCCAACTACTTTCACTGAGTGCCCCACACCCTATGCAGGAAGTGAGACAGCCCTCAGAATCAAGCTGTCCACACATGGAGCAGACACATCAAAAGACTGAGCAGCCATCCCCAAACCTGCTGCTTCAGTCTAATGAGAGCTGTGTCAATCCAGGATAGTGAACCTCTTCCCAGTAAATAAGGCAACATAAGGAGCAGAGAACATCTGGAGTGTTTTCCTAGAGATTGGTGATGTTTCTTGTAATGTCTCTAAAAGCCCAGTAAGGGCAGCCATCCAGAACAGCCTGCCCTGCTTCCAAAGTACCCCAGCTGTGCCAGGGATAAATGGGGAAGGGGCCTTGAAAAGTTGGGCAAAGATTTATTGAACTCTCAAGTATAGAAACTTTAAAAAGTCTCCTCCAAATCCTGAGACCAGGACTGCTATCCTTTGGGTATCAGATAGGGTGAACCCAGATCAGATCAGTCTCAACCTTGGACCATCAGACAAATGTGCAGATACTATCTCATTAGTCCAGCTTTGATCTGACTTCTGGGGTGCAACGCATGATGTACAGTGACTTACGAACCAGAATTTTACCATGTTCAAGGCATGCAGATGGGTTTGGTTTGTGGGGTAAGGGAAGGAAGAGAGATTCAAATCGCCCTCTCCATCAAAGCTGTTTCCCTGGTTTCACTCCGTGGCTGTCTCAGTACCCTGGTCCTCCCTGGGGCTGGGTTTCAGCTTCTGAGAACAGATGGGAAATGCTGATGTAGAGCCAGGTGTGCATCCTGTCTGTTCCTGATTTCTCATCCATCTTGAGAGGGCTTCACTAGTGTGGCTTTCTTACCCTCTTTCCTGATGAGTGAGTTTGGAAGGAGAATTGGGCACAGATACCTTCCATCTCCTAGGATCTGGCTGTCCACAGAGAGCTTATGTTCTGCTCTCCTATCTACAATAAGGGGTCTGAGCCCATGCAGAAGGCCATGATGGCCATATGCTGACTCTGCCCAAGTGGGAAATCAGGACCAATCTTGAGGTCCTGTAATACACAAACCATTCCACCCAAGGTATAAACCACATTCTCCAGTATCTGTTTCGTTGGTAATAAAGGCAGTATTGGCTCTCCATTTGCTCATTCCTGTGTCTTATTTTTTAATTGGCTTAGAACCTAGTCACAAAAAAAGAGGTTATTATGTATTAACCAGGAGACTGGTTATTATTATTGTGTGACTCCTTGCACAAAATCCTAACACCAGAATGTGAATACACTGCAATTTATTGAGAAAAGAAAGTATGACAAAATCATCACCCAAGGATCCACAGCTCAGGGAATTAAGGCGACAGAGGTAAGTCAGGATATGGTACCCAGAACTGGGGAGGACCCTGGGAACCAACAGTCCAGATCTTTTGACCATTGGCCCTACAGAGCTGGCCCCACTGGACTGTCCTCCTCAGGTGGGACTGAAACATGCCAGCTTCAGACCATCACCTCCCAGCTGATAAAGGGGAGATGGGCAGGGGTAGGAACAGGCCCACCTGGGAAGGCCCACACTGACTGGGGCTCAGATGTTGCTGTCCAATGTCAGGGGCCAGTGCAGGAGCTTATCCAGGAGCATTGTCATCCCAGACTAGCAGCCAGACCTCCAGAGCCAAGGGGAGATCTCGGAGATGGAAGAGCCAGGAAGAAGTTCAGTCCCTTTTCCAGGGAACTTGAGGAAAAGTGAGGTTGAGGTTGGCATTTGTTGATGCCAAGCAGAGAGTGGGAAGTGCTGTTGCAGGCCGGGAGGGAAGCAGGTGGGCATGGAAATCTGGCTCCGGAGGATCACTTGGAGCAGTACTGGCTCGAGCTGATGGACTGAGAGAAGCGGGTACTGGTGCCACCTCCACTGCCAGTCTGGTAACCACTGCCTCCAGAGGTCTGGATGCCCGCAGAGCTGGAGCCAGCCCCTCTCTGGCTCACGGAGCCGCTGGCCCTGGTCCCACTGGCGCTGCCGCTCACACCGCCGCTGCTCCCTCCGTAGCTGCCCTTAACCCCGCCGCTCACGCCGCCGCTCACGCCTCCACTGCCCACACCTCCACTGCCCGCTCTCCCGCTGCTCACGCCGCTGTAGCTGCCACTGCTGCTGCCACCGGCCCCTCCGAAGCCTCCTTGGCTGACCCCGGAGCTGCTGTTTGTGCTTGTGACGTTGCTGACCACCGCTACAGGAGAACAGGTGCTTGGTTCAGGCAAAAGGCATCGGTCTCTATCCCAACTGAACCCCACTTAGCTATGTGACTTAGAAAAAGATGTCCAACTTCTCTGATGCCTCAGTTGGTAAACAAAAGTGAGCCTGACCCTCTGGTGCCCTTTCCCAAACACAGGAGCCAGCAAAATCCAGGAATCTTCTGGTTCTCCACCTAAGGAGGTTTAGGTTCGGCCTTACAGTTTGCCAGCTTACACTAGGGGCAGAGTGCGTGCCCACAGCCTGAAACCCTAGACCTTATTTGGTGGCCTGGCCTCCTGCGTGGGTCAGGCTGACCTGCCTGGAGGTCAGTCAGCAATGATGTTTCTAGTCACCCTTTTTACAACCTAGGGAAAAAGCTTTTGAAAGGCTACTTACAAATACATACAGCACTCTGACACTCTCCAG